AAAAAAATGATTTTCAGCACCTCACATGGCATAAGATGTAAAAGGGAATGCATAAAGACTAAAAAAGTAACATAAAAAAGGCAAGAACCTTGTCAAAGAGATTTCACAATAACTCCCTCCCTACAGGCTTTCCCATTTCCCACCTCTTCTCAGCTTCATCGCCTGGTTTTCAGCGAACCCTCGAGCCCATACGGAAACTAACACAGCAGCCTTCATCGAAGCTGTGAACTCAGCTTGTATTTTTAGGTCTAAAGTAACAGCTCTCCAAACAATGATCTCACACCGACCCAGAAGGACAGATTATAACTTTACAGACAATGGATACAGCACGTGACATTCATAGTCGAGTCAATAACGTGCACTAAACTGACTCTGTAACAACATCACTGTACTCGCATCAAAATTCTCCAATGACCTGACCAAATGAGGACATCCATCATTTTCCAGCACTCCTGTTTCTTGTCACTCGAGTACAGATCGACTCCTCCTGGAACTTGATACTAAAACTCTTAAAAATAAAGGTTCTTTATTGGCATTATAAGAACCTTTAACATCCACAGAAACTTTTCAGTGCACAAAAGGTTCTTTATAGTGGAAAAAGGTTCTTTAGATTTTTTAAAAATGCTCTTGACGCTAATAAGAAATTGGTTCTTTCAAGAACTGTTCACGGAAAGGTTCTTGAGGGAATCAAAAATGATTCTTCTCTGCTGTGAAAACCCCATTTTGGAACCTTTATTTTTAAGAGTACACACACTGAAGACATATCACATGCTCACCCGTACAGTTAAACAGGAAATGAATCAGCAGTTCCAGACTCTTTGGTCATTCAACATGTGTTTAATGATTAGCATATGGACCAGGACCATGAGAACAGAGCCCAGGCCAAAGAATTTAAAAAAGCATTGGGGGTCTTTTATTACTGATTCAATGCCTAGACCACATCCTCATGAAAGATGCAGTGACCTATCAGAGCATCCAGTGTGAATTCCCCACATCAGCCTGTCTGTGAAATTAGGCTGTGTAATCTTTCATTCTGCAGCAGTTTAGTTCCTCACTAGTCACATCAAGACTACCTTGATTCAAAACGAAACCTATACAGTATGATAAAGTCAGTCAAAGTGCAACAAAATTCTCAACCTGTTACATTTCCATGACATTACATATGTTGAAGTGAAAAAATATATAGCTTGTGCAGACTATATCAGCAGTTCTCAAACTTTTTTTGAGCCCAACACCCACAATGTCAAACACAATGTTTAGAGATCCAATATGCAGGTAAAAATAGTTCTTCTGGTACTTCTGATGATAAGGCTGCTGCATGCTAAAAGCACTGTTTTGAAACAGAAACTTCTCAGTGAGTCTGTCATGATCTGAGGCTATGTTTACACGGAAACGATTCTGAAGTGAAAACGCAAAAGTGGCGTTGCATCATCTTTTTTTTTTATTCTGCGTTTAGACGAGCGTTTTGTGTGGGAAATCCGCGTGCAAATGGAGACGCAAAAGTGTGTGAAATTTAATGTAGTATGCACTTCAGGCGGCTAGGAGTGCATACTACAACAACACCAAGTCCAACACCTGGCTTTGTGGCTGTTTAGCCAACGTTCCGTGGGCGTGACGTCTGAGGCTGAGACTAACGCGCCTGCGTACAACTTTCACCGTCAAGCAGAATTTTGCGTTTTTACTGGAGGGTGGTTTCACTTTTTTGTGTTTTTGAGGCTCAAAAACGCCGTTGCCGTGTAAACGAAAGGCGCACATCCGATAAAATATTTGTACGTTTTCACCCGCGAGCGTTCTCGTGTAAACAGGGCAGCTGAGTCATTAGTTGACATTCATTAAACAATCACACCTGTTCGTTATTTAGTCACTATCACTGTTTTTTCATCTTTGACAGAGTGTCTATTTATAAAATATACAAATTAAATAAAATAATAAATTAAATATAGCCTATATAATATATAAAAATGCAATTTATTCTGTGATTAATTTCAGTCTTCAAGTTACAAGAATTATATGTTTTTCATTAAAATCTGAAAAAAAACCAATACATATTATTGTTAATTTCCATTATTAAAATATAATTATGATTAAGATATATTCCTAGTGAACTTAGTTTCTGGTCAGTACACCGTTTGTATTGAGTGTGTTGATTGGTCATCAAACAAGTTTTGAACACTTGGACTAACATGCACCAATGATTCATGTGAAACAGAAAGACCACAGGACCAGAAACGTCCACTAAAATAAAGAGGTTCAAAATAATTTGGATTTCACAATGACTATAAACTTTTGAAAATAGCCACAGTGACTTGAAATAGACAGCTATTAAAAAATATAGCAACGTTTTCTCATGCGCATGCCTTGTTCTGTACATCATATCTAATATCTTAAAGCTGGCCACTACTATAAATGGCCTTTATGAAATTATAGCGTCATAGCGACATGTCATTTGACCCTAGTGTAGAGTCCTGATAGCCACAGCCTTAATTAAAGGATCTCGGAAATGGGCGATGCTCAAAAAAGAAAAAGCACATTGATAGATTAAAAAACAAATGAGAGAAAAGTGATGTAGGGGTGAGAGACATTTGATAGATTGGTCGTCAGTTGTTCGGTTGCTATCCTAACCCTATCCATCTTGCTCCCTCTATTAGTGTACTGGTTCCTACAACACTCACGTCAGTCGTGCCGCTACCAGGGCATCAATTCAATCACAACACACAGCACTGGCACTCCAATCTTCCCTGTGACCATGGAGACGAGGAGAGCGTAAAATAACAACACTGCTCTCATAAGTCTCACTGTTCAAATGGCAGTGCCTCTAACACTCAACTCAGTTCTAAAATAGAAGCTCCATTTCTTATCCATTCAAGTCTACCAAACCCCTATTGGTCCTTCTGAAGGGTTAAAATGGACTTGAACTGGGAGGTTACATCAGTAAGCTTTGATTCCCATGGTGTGAGGTGAGAATCTTTCATGCTGGCATCCCGAAAGATGGCCTGGTCCATTTTTAAATGTAAAACCGATGTAGGCAGCGGCTGGCTCATTTGTCACCTGCCTTATCAGTGACAGCAGCCTACACCGTGTGCTAGCCAAGGCTGTCAGGAGAGAGACCTGAGGTAAAGCCACCCAAAGCAACCGGAGGATACGGGATGAATAACCAACTTCACCCCCTTCTTCAAACCTTGTATTGGTTTGAGTCTCCAATCAGTGCCTATCACTGTCGGGTGAAGAAATGTGTGTTTTGAGGGCTCCGGAATCCTCCAAACAAGCATGACAATAAGACAATAAGAAATGTATAGGTGGATGGAAGGATGGATACGGTGGCAGAGATGGTGGGCGTTTATTTTCTGCGGTGGTTATGAATTCATAGACACATATAAGTAATAAAATCTTACATTGTATCTTAACAACCAGATAACCAGCTGTACCTTATTTGGCAACTGCCCTAACAACATTATCAATGTTGAAACTGTTCAATATGATTAATATTTTTGTGTTACTGACCCCAAACCTTTGCAGTGTACAGTATTATATACATATATGTGTTCAAAAATATACATACAATAAATATATATTATCAATATTTAACATAAAGTTAAAATAATGAATTGCTGTTGGCACTGTTTTCTAAAAGCAATAAGCCACTTAAATCAAGTTATTTTTTCATAGATTTGATCATAGAACATCAAACACGTTCTGATTGGCTGACTTTATGTCTCTTAGCACTTTTTCTGCAAACTTTTCATACTCTTTAAATCACTTTTTTCTTTTAAAGAAAAAGACATTCTGAAATCCTTTTCTTGCTGCAATTTCCTTGTGCCCGTCTTATTTTTTCCCTCTCAAATAGTAGGGAGGTTAAGCCCAAAAATAAAGGACAATAAATAACAACAGTATTGTTTTTTAGTCTTGGAACCTACTTTATTGGACTCCTTGACCACAAAAATGTACACACAGGCTGCGTCCGAAACCGCATACTTCCCTACTATATAGTATGGAAAAAGCAGTAGGCGAGCGAATAAGTATGTCCAAATCCTTAGTATCCATAAAAGAGTAGGCGAGAATTACCAGAGTGACGTACTAATTATCGCGAGATTCGGGCATACGTATACTTATAGTACGTCCGAATATTCCTACTTTCGTACTATATAGTAGGGGGAAACAGTATTTGAAAGGAGTAGTATGTCCGAAACCTCAGTACTCATAAAAGAGTAGGCGAGAAGTTCCCGGATGATCTCCTGCTTTCGCCCCGATTTTTGAGTGTTCATCCGATGGATACTCTTCTATCCCAGGAGGCCACGGGAGAGCATACGTCATTATCAACATCGGAGATCAGCAGGGGTTTTCAAATGTGAGTAAACACGGTTTCTTGTGTTTAAATCGTATGTGTTAAACTACTATAGAGTAAACGTTTTAACTGTTGAAGGTCTAAAGGACTTAGACAGTATAGTATAGTTGTGATTTTGCTGTAAACACATGTTTTATTAGTTAGTTAAACTGGGGAGCTCCAGTAAGTACGCTACACGTAAGTTTCTAAAATGGATTTACATAACCATATAACGTTACATCTTAAATACGCTTATTTAAAATGTCTATTTACATCTGAAATGAAAATATTGTTTAAGTATTGCAGATGAGCACATCCCAACATGAAAAATACATCTGAGTGATGTAACGTTATGTGTGCTACTAATATGAAGGATAATTCACTGTTGTCAACACTACTTACATTACACAAATGTACTGTAAATAAGGTAAATAAACAAATCTATAAAGTAACTAAATATGTTATATTTAATTTGTCCCTTATTAGTGTTGATATATTGAGGAACATTTAAGTTGGATTAAAAGTGAGTTAACACATCAACCTCAGCATGTAAATTCAGTGTTGAACTCGTAATGTGAATCTTGTCTGTATGTTACAGGGACAGAAGAACACGCGTGTGTTTATCTGCTGGAGAGAGGCTCATGATGCTGAATGCTGTCATGAAAGGCTCTGAGTGAGTATACTACAGAAATGGATAACAAAATCTATTCAATCTTAAATTGTAGTTTATTTGAATTATTGTACAAATTTCAAGTAGAGAAATTACAACACTTTTCTGATTCTTGATTTCTGTGCATTTGCTGCATAGCTTTTGTGGTGGAGCAAGACCTGCAAGGAAAGATGATGGCAGCATTTGTTTTAGGGATTTTACTCAAATATAAAGTAAGGTTATTTTTAATACATAAATCAAATGACATTGTGTTAAAATTACTGCTTTTGTATAATGTTTGTGCATTTTTGTAGGATCTGAAATGTCTGCAGACTGGTGTGAGCACTGAGGATGAGGAGCCTAGAGCTGCATCCTGGAAGTGGTGCCATGGATGAGTCCCTCCATCTCTCCACCTGCCCTTACGAGACCCTCTATCTCTCCACCTGCCCTTATTGCCTCAGATTGTGAAGCGCAGCGCAGCAACAAGCTCCGGGACGAAGGCACAGTCCCCTCTGGTGAATTCATCAGAATAAAGCCGCAGAATGGGAACCGCTGTGTTGAGACGGCATTAGGATGTGGTGTTCAGCCCTGTAAATACATGCTTGTAGTTTGAATAAAGCTTTGTTTCATGTGTTGTTGACTTGTATAATGCATTTGTTTATTGTGATGGTTACTTTTATTTGTTCTTTTACTCATTTATTCATTTTTATTATTGTTGTCAGTATATAAAATTGAATTATTTAATTAATGTATCCATTAATTCATCGATTGACTGATAATTGAGATGTTTCACTGCATTTATGAATATAAATTTATTCATGCATAACTGTCATATGACAAAACAAATTACATTTTGCTTGTTATATTAAATTATATTTTTAGTATATAAAAAAGTTATATAATTAAGTATTGGTCAGCATTTAATATTATTATTTTGTTTAAGTTTTGGGGTGGGCTAACAATGCAATTCTTTCTGAGGTAATATTAATTTTTAAGGAGTGATACTTACATTTTTCGAGTATAAAATCAACAGTTTTCTCCAAAAGAGATCTTCGAGCAGCTGCCCGTCTCCTTTGTGCAGACATTACAAACGCAGAGGAAAACTGTTCTAGGTTGTGCTGTCGAGTCACTGATGTTATGAAGTGTTAGTACACCTGTCACTCATAATTTAAACTTATAAACGTATTACATACAAGATCATGGAAAGATACCATAATAGTCATAATGACAAAACAGAAAACATAAAGATCATTGGTTTGTTTACATCATAATACAGGAAAAAGGAACAATAACAAGGCTAAATATCTTTAAATAGTTCTTCATAATACATGAAAAATGATGTTGTTTTGTTGTTATAGGTCTGAGGGATGAAACGAGGTAAATTCATCAAGAAAAGGAGGAAAACTTAAAGGAGAAACGTTTTGGGTATAAAATAAAGAAATTAACAACATATATTCAAGAGGTGACGATTTGGGGGTTTCTTAATAAAAAAAAATATCAGCTGTTTCTTCAACAATACCACAACAAAATGAGAAAGTTTCATCAATGTCAAGATATTTATAGATAGAAGAATTAAACGTGTCGCTGTTCATTTCTTTGCGCTTGTGATATGATGGTAACGCGTCGTAGTAGGTCACATGATAACGTCAACATGGCAGATGTCCGGTTCTCATTCATACTCAACGAGATTTGGCTATAAAGTACCTACTCTTTTAGCGCTCGTTGAGTAAGTACTTATTGAAATTAAGTACCTACTCATTGAGTATGCGGTTTTGGACGCAGCCACAGATACCAAATTTGTCATTATAGCTATAACAGAAGCAAAGGGCCTCTCAAGTATGGTCGGCGGCCATTTTTAAAAAATGTGCATATATAAGAAACAAAATGTGATCTCACTTGTGTGTGTCTTAGGATAAATGTATTTTTATGGCCTTACGGTACTTCCATACCAAATGGGACCTTTGCATCATGACTTGAAGTCAAAAGTCGCTTAACCCCTCCGTCACGTCAAAATCACGGTATATAGTTCAAACATTCAAAGCGAAAACAGTGAAAAGTATAAATCCCTTTACTTGCTGATCACATAAAGCTCTGCTAGAATGAAAAGACGTTCTTGCACACAATCCGATGTATTGTATGCAAGCGTGCATGTTCAAGTGCGAACGCACACACAGACAGACACGCCGTCACACCTACAAACCCCATGCTCTCACTCACTAAACAAGTTTGCGCTCACTCAGAGTTGTGAGTGAAGTGAAACACCTGAGAGAATGTGAGAGTGAGAGAAAGAGAGAGAGAATGACAACCACACCTCACTCGTCATATTCATCTAGACGGTGAGAACAGGTTGTCCCTCGCAACGACTAGAGGAGCATTTCCACCACCCGTATTAGCTTTGCAAAATCATTCCAGCCCGGGTCTCTATATGTGGGTGAGTTATGAGAGAAGGCCCAGGCAAGGACAAGGGAACTGGCCAGGCATTTTAATTATTCAGAGTCAGCGCTCATTTACAGAAGAATGGCTGCTTCGACTAAGCTCCGAGCCTGACATATGACTCACATAAAGGATTTAGCAAAGACCGACTGGAAGTACATCCATACTAATTGAAAAGTATTTCTATTAGCAGACTGATATAGTGTCTGTGATAAGCACCAGAACCTTCATTTAGGGCAGGGCGGTGTTTACACTACATAGTTGAATGATGAGCGCTTGCAGTAGCATAGTGAACATGCCTAATGAGCAAATCACAAGAAATACTTTAATGGTGCTATGAGGTCACTGTTTATAGTATATGTTTAGCATATGTTTATAAAGTAGTACTAGCACACTGCTGTATACATACTGTGCAGTATATGGCAGTATACACTCGTGTCTGATCAAATAGTGATATTGAAATCAACATGGATATATCTTCTGGTTTATTCATCACATTTCACATGGAAGAGCAAGTAAAAATAAATAAAAAATACACAAAAATGTTCGTTAAAATAGTGTTCATGTTATAGAACACCCAACATTTTTTGTGTCACCTGTGTTGATTGGTCAGCAGTGTTTATTAGAGTCTGTGTTCTGGTTGCTGATCGGTAAGTATAGTTTATAGCAAGTGCAGTGATTTTGTCATAGTGTGTTGACTTGTGTTGGGTTTACATTCATTCATAGTCAATGTCTATAATGAGTTGAACGGCAGTCTGTTGATTGTGGGTGCTGTGTGTTTTTACTGGAAGGAGACTGAGTCACTGTCTTTGTGCTCTGATGTGACATTACTTCTCTGATCACGTTCTGGTTTTGTCTATAGTACGCACACACACACACACACGCACACACACACACACATATCTCTCTGGATCCCAATGCTAACACGCTCTAAAAATATCTACATCAGAAGCTCTCCTTGCTGTGTGTGTGTGTGTGTGTGTGTGAATCATTCAACCAGAGACAGCTACTCAACTTGATCCCTCGATCTCTGTCTCTGTGAATGTGAAAGAAATAGAGAGAACAAGGGAACAGAGAGAGAGAATTAAAGAGGGCATGATTTTCCAAGAATGGACTACTGAATACATGCTCTAACAATTACAAGCAAAGGCTTCCGTCCAACGAGGCAGAATGCTCAAAAATGTGAAAGAAAAAATATCTATATCTAAAATAGGGCAAAACAAATACTACAAGATAAAAGTGTATGTTTTCCAAGGATTTGTTGAGATGTCAGAAGTAGAAACAAACTGTTTCTTCCATTGTTATTTTTTCACTTTGATGGGACTTAAAGGATTAGTTCACCTCAAAATTAAAATTTCATGATAATTGACTCACCCCAATGCCATCCAAGATGTTCATGTCTTTCTTTATTCAGTGGAAAATAAATTAAGTTTTTTGAGGAAAACATTTCAGGATTTTCTTCACACAATGGACCCCAACAGTAACCAAATTGTTGAAGTCCAAATCTATGTAGTTTTGAAGTGCTTCAAGGGGCTGTGCACGATCCTATCTGAGCGAAACGATCGGTCATTTTCAAAAAAAAAAATTAAAATGTATATACTTTTTAACCACAATTGTTCGTCTTGTGCTGGTCTGCGACACGCCATTCATTACGTAATCATGTCGGAAAGGTCATACTGGATGTAGGCGGAAATACTTCAACAATCTGGTTACCGTTGAAGTCCATTGTGTGGAGAAAAATCCTGAAATGTTTTCCTCAAAAAAAATTATTTCCACTGAAGAAAGAAAGACATGAACATCTTGGATGGCATTGGGGTTAGTCAATTATAAGAACATTTTCATTTTAGGGTGAACTACTCCTTTAAGTATTTTGTGTACTTAAGTGTAAAAAAAATCTATTGTGTCAGTGTAAATAGAAAAAAAATATATATTATTGGTTGCTTGTTAATATAATAAGGTAAATGGGGTTTCGTATGCTGGGGTTTTCAAACATTTCAGTACAAAGGACCCTCAAATATGAGAAGAATTATAAATATGGTGTGTGCTACTGTATATAAAAGGCTTTTTTTTTCATTTTACTAAATTCAAAGAAGAGATTAAAATGTTATCTGACAAATATTTACTTTGTACTCAATACAGTGATTTCTCACTTGTCTACCCAATATTTATTAATGTTCTGGTATATTAATTTTAATAGAGAATAGTACCTTATTAAACCAAGGTTACAATAAGGAAGACAAGGTTACCAATTAAAATATAGATTACTTAATTAAAATGTGTGGGTTTTTTTATAAAGTTGTTTCAGTTGTAATTTCTTATTGTTGCTGTCAACAGAATTAAATAATTGTGAATGCTGTCATGATTTCTGATTCCTGTCTTTAAAGGGGTCATCTAATGCAATTTAATGTTTTCCTTATCCTTTAGTGTGTAATCTGTTAGTGTATTTATACAATCTGCAAAGTAATAAAGCTCATAGTCACCCACAAAGGGATTTATTCTATCTAACCGGGAACCCTGATCTAGACCTGCCTAAAACATCCTAATCCAAGTCCAATCTCCTGGACTTGGATTACCTCCTCAATCCTCCACATCACAATGTGAAAAAATTGCATAATGTTATTATGCCAATAATAACTGATAAGGGAAAACTCGACAATATTATTATATAACTGTGTGTTTACAAATGCTTAGAGGCCTTGAAAGCTAAAGCTTGAGATTATAGTAAGGGCCATTACATTTCCAACACACGCTTGAGGTGTTTGGCCAATCACAAAGCAGTAAGTCAGCTGGCCAATCAAAGCACTCTGAGCCTTCTTGAAATCAGCACCTTTTAGAAAGACTGGGAATAGAGGAGCTACAATAACGAACATTATTAAATCATGTTAACCTATTCTATTACACCTGATAATCAAAATAATAAATAAAAACTGCATCATATGACCCCTTTAATTCTTCAAGTGTTTTTTCTTTTGTTTGTTTACTTTTTTTTAGATCATTTTTCCCCACAGAACCCAGTTTGAAAAAACCCTGCCATGCATGACTTTAATAAACATCAAATGTAAATATCATTCACAAACATTAATTTATCCTCAGAGGGGATATGAATTTATGTATTTTCTTTCAAAAGTCACGGATCACTAAATGCAAATGAGCGTTTCTGAGTGTCGCTGCATGTTTTGTACGTGTTGATTAAACACTGCTGTGCAATGTTTG